CCGTGTTCTTGAAGTTTTGTTTCCTAACGTTAGGGAACAAAACTTCAAGAACACGGCCACACAGCCCGGAAGACCCACACCAGCCAATTGTTAAATTACATTCACCAATCCCCTCACATATTCATATAGCCAATAGCAAAAAAGCATGGGAAAGGATTTCCTTAATTTTATCTAGATAGATTGCAGGCTGTGTCTGCTTCTGACTGCTGAGAAATGAAATCAAGTTGAAAAGCCTGAGATTGTTTCTGTTCTCAAAAGTAACAGGTGGTGGTTAAGGGAGGGATGGGCAAGGGGTGAAGTGACTTCACCAGAGTACCATCCTGATGTAGACAGAAACAAATTGCTGACAGAAAGGTTGTTCCTGATGACCAGAGATAATCTGGTTTATAGGCAAATAATTTAATTTAGGCAAATTTTGAGGCTCTGAAACTAGGTTTCCAAAGTCATCTGGCAGCATTGATGACTTTTCCCACCACAACTTTTCCCTATTAATTATACAACCTTGATATTGCTTCGTTGCATTTCCAGTGCTGTGCTGAAGTGTCAGTATGCTAATATTTTTAAAATATAAATTGCATTTTGAGACTTCTGCTGTAAATTCCATAAACGAATGTCATGTCATTTATTTTGCTAGCGAGCTTGCTTCTGGCTGATAGCTTTTTGTCCTTAGATACATCAAAGCAAATGCTACTGTGAGGCAAAAATTTACTTTATCTCTCAGCATTACAGACCCAGGTTCTTTTAAATCTTATTTCACATATATGTTCTTAAATTATCAGTGTGAAAGAACAGTTCAGGGCTAAAAAAAAAAAAAGAGAGAGATAAATAAAAATTAGCTAGAATGAAGATTTTATTTCAGGGAAATGTTTAAAAGGGCAAATGTGTTTAGATTATTAGTTTCACTGTTATACACAGATATGAGTATTAAAAACCAAGATGAGCTTAACCCCAGCCCTTGCGACCTTCTGGAAATTTCTTACAATGTGTGTTTTTCAACAGGCCTGGGGATCCCCTGGTAACAGGGAGCCCACACACCAGTTGCGTCATATGTAAAATCTTGATGTATTTCCCTCTTGTGATCTTGTTTTTATTTATGTTTGATTGCTTTAATCTGCTTTTGTGAAATGGTTTAACTGTTGGTTTTATTGTATGCCACCCAGAATCTCTTTGTGTGAGATGGGCAGCACTACAAATTTGATAAACAAATAAATAAATAAAAGGGTGCAATATACTATTTATAATCATGGTATATAAATGGTCTGTGTTGTTAAACTTCCCTATCAGTAAAATAGACTCATAAATTATTTTGGTTCTTTTCAGTGTTTGCTTTATGGATCACATCTTCTATTCTGAAGAACCAAGACATTCTCAAGGACCAAATATTGTGGTATTGATAAATATAAGCATTTATCATTTCACTAGTGATTTTCAAGTAGCAGATTCCATCAAAGTGGCAGACCTTGATAGTCAAGGTAACAAGGGCAATAACACCATATAGAGGGTTGAGTACAGAATTATTCTCCAGCTTATTTGAAAGAAAAATTGTGGTACAGTTTGAATTCTATCAGGACAATGATCCTTTGTCATCTTAAACCGATATTCATTTATTTTTTAAGTACGATACAGCATGTCAAACTCTTGCTAATCTTCAACATGTTTTGGAAGTGAATTAAGGAATGAATGTAGCTAATTAGCAGCTAAGAAAATGGAAATGCAACAGCAGAGGCCCTTTTTCAAAATTGCTAATTGCATAGGGTAGAATGGCCAAAAATAGAACATTGGCCTGGCTTAATCCAAAGTAACGTTATAAATCCTGTCTCCAATGGTGTTATGTATGGTGTTAGTATGGCCCTTTTCTCTGGTCAGCCAACCATTACCTGTGCCCAGACTCTATAGAAAGAATTCTTAAATGTAGGAAGTAACATTGTTTTCAAATATTAAGTTCCATTTTGAAATTAATCTATTACTAAGGAAAAATTCATTTGTCGTAGCTTTCAATATAATTAAAGGTAAATATAAGTCAACCATTTTTTCCACAGAGAGCCGAAGAAAACACTGCACAATTTTAAGGCATTGCTTTTTATTATTATAATTTAAATGACTGATAGCTTTTCTAAACTAAGAAGCAGAAGGATACTATATAATTTTTAAACAATGGGAAATGTTATTTTAAGTATGAGAAAATGTGAAATCCAATACTAATTTGTTTCAGATGTAAACTAATTAAATAATACTTTAAATAAAATAAATGATTTAATTTAAAAATGGATAAAATAACTTGCTGCTTCTGACAACTCACTGCATAAATATAAATGAATTCAATATTTTTGTTAAATATATAGTTTCTTTTTTAATAGTTTGGATTTTTTGTTTTGTTTTGTTTTCAATTGTTTTTAGAAAACAATCTTTATAAAACTCAATAAAATTATATTTTAAAAATGCAGAGTAAAACCAAATCACAAAATTGAGTATTATAAAGAATTTTCAGTAATTTCTGTTCATGAGTAGTATACATATACAATCAATCTGATTAATAATTCAGAAACTATTATTGTGGTTGTTATGAACATTATTCAAACCAATAAAAGTTGGTATAGGAATAATATTTTATTGATTTGCTTTGTAACTAAAATTACCTCTAAAAATAGTTTTGATTAAGGGAAAGGAATTATATGCATTCCATTATATGCTGGATTTCACTCTTCATATAAAAGAAATATATTAACTTTATTTACAAATGAAGGCAGGTTATACATTTACTTATTAGAATTATATACCACCTTTATCTTAAACAACTCAAAGTAGCATGGATAATTTTTATTTCTTTATTTTTAACAAATTTATATGATTTGTGAGCTCATCTCACAAAAAGTGACTCTGGGTGACGTACAACACTTAACTAAAAAACAATAAATATATAAAAAACAATCATTATTAAAAAATATAAAAAACACAAGGCACAAGAGAGGATAAATGCTAATCGCAGTAAGGGAGCCACCTCAAGATCATACCAGCCCCCTGGGACCCCCAGGCCTGATGACATAACCAGGTCTTGAGGGACCTTTGGGATAGGAGGGATGGAGCTAACCTCACTTCCAGGGGGAGAAGATTCCACAAGGCAGGTGCCATGGCAGAGAAGGTCTGGCTCCTGGGACCTGCAGTGTGCCTTCTCTGCCAGATCTGATGGGATGGGCAGATATAATCAGGGAGGCAGTCTCTTAGATAACCTGGCCCCATGCCATGAAAGGCTTTAAAGGTTAAAACCAGCACCTTGAA